TAAGTTCATCAGCTTGAGCTGCAACTAGTTAATAGGTGGTCCACGTTAAGCGTGATAGATAACACTATAAAGTTGCGATACGTTTTCAGGCCTTCGACAACGACGAGTTAGTCGAAACGTCAGGCGAATAAAGATTCCACCATTAAAAACTTGTATGGCACAGAAGAGTTGACTAATGTCTCAAGTATATTTGCAAGTTTGAAGTTTGAAAAAAAGGCCAAACACGTTGCATTCCTTTGATGAAACGTTTCCGTTAAGGGACCAAATTGTAATTCCAGTTCGGTGCCACTGTGGCTAATCCTTACCGGCCTATTTACCAACTTCAAAGATCAGACTTCGGCCTGAATCACATAGAGTATACAAGCCAAATATGTGTTACATAAAACATGTAGATGTTATTCGAGGGGTATGTGAAGAAAGAAAGGGAAATGGTAGACCTTAGAAGCAGAATTGTTTGTAAGGAAAAAGGTATTACTCATGGGACGATCCAGTAATCCCCTAGGCCTCAGCCTGTTGTGGTGCTCATCACAGAGGTTCTCAAATGTCACTGAAACGTCAACGAGATGAAGACATTGCAAAAAGTCGCCAACGAGTTCGACGAGGCCTTTCTCCATGTTCTTTGTGAATTCAATCCCTTTCCTCAGTCCCAGAGCTAGCAGAGAAAATAATTGAGCTTCCTTTAACTCAACAATTGCCATGCCAGTCTATCAAGCCGAAAAATTGGAAGAGTCAACAAAAGCGCTTTGAGAGGGCAAATCATCTTTTTTTCTGCTAATCCTTTCAATAATTTTCTTGACGTCTTCTGATGGGTTATTTCAAAGAAATCCCTTGGAAATCCAATGAAAAATGAGTGACAGTTAGTGGCAGTAAGCAATGAATAAGTAATCGATGTCTCCCTGAAAACATTAAAAACCGGATGTGGGCTAGTTTGTCTGGGTGGGTAAATCCTGTTATTAGTACCGTCAAATGTGGACACTAAGAATTGCCTACCGCTTTGATACATGAAAATAACGAAGCAAAGCAAGCACCAGCACATAAACAGGTGTCCAGGAAGACTGGTGAAAGGTTTGGACATTGTAAATCGTAATGTCGAACCTCTGACAGGCTATTATAGTCCCTTATTACATGAACACATTTTTTTCAAACGGTCTCTATCCACGTGAAGGATAGCGGCTATGGCGGGTGTGATGTAGTGGCAAGTGGCGCACTATCGCAAAAGTATGGTCCCGGGATCGGACGCCGAATCGGTGCTATAGCCAGGCCTACAAGTCTTCCATCCCTCTAGTGTCGGTAATCGGTACCAGCTCGTCCGGAAGCAGAGTAGAAGTTCAAGCGGGGCTAGTCCCATAGTGAAATCGATTAACGCCCAGAGGTTTTAACCTTCCAATCAAGCTACCAGGTTTTATCCTTCCCATTAAGGCTACCATAAATGGGGAAGAGCCCGAATAGAATCGTGGGTGGCTAGGCCAAGTTTTCAGGAACGGGCTCAGGCTTAAGCCCCATCCATCATTTCAATAAAGACGATTTATTGATGGGGAGCTTGCATAAATGATGGAAAACATTGAGACTGCAAATGGCCTGTCTCATTCACTCAGAGAATGGCATCCATATGCCACCGGAAAACTTTGACGAATATAAATGAAACTAAAAAGTGTAGCGTGTCTGAAAGAAGGATGAAGATGTATCTTTCGAACGTTCAAAACATTAAAAGCCTATCACAGTACTTAGTGATGGGAGTGGAGAAACACCTCTACATGGGGACTGGACGGAAATGGGCAACGAATATAGGCGCTAAACAACTGCTGCGATAGACCTATTGAATTTCTACCATCTACCCTGGTTTTCCTCCCTGTCATTTGGAGTGATATGAGAACTTCTCGAGCTAGGCTTATCCTTCTTATTCACTCTACCGGTGTGGTCTGAGGATCGAGTCCGGATTGAAAACCTTGCCGGGTTATGCACGGGCCTTTGAACTTTTGGGAATTTAATCGACATCACATTGCTATGGGACGATCAAAACGCTGACTAGCACATGGAATGCAGAGAAAAGTCATTCTTCAAACCCAAATAAATCAAAAATTTCTGAACGAAAGTAGGTTGAAAGGTTTGTTCCTAGCCAACATGATGTTCAGAGGTTTTTAGGCACTATTGTAAGTATACATAGCTATGAAAACCTCCTTAGGATTTACCTTCGGACATTACAGGTGAACCTTGACTGTAAAAACAGAGGTGCAGATGCAATAAGCGTTCTGAAAGTCACGGAAATTCGAACTCATCCATCCGTACGATACTACATAGACCCGATTTCATACCCAAAATTTGAAATACTAGTTTCGGTAGAGTTATTCCCCCCAAGTTATTCCTTCCATATAAGTAGATCGTGTCGTGAACTCGTTCTACCACCTTTTATGCCCTCATATGGCTATTAACTGTCAAGAATAAGCTCGTAAATCAGGAATTTATAGGTTCCCAGGAGAATAAAGACTGACTAGAAATTCTCTGCAAGAATTAAAGAGAAGGTAAGGCAATGTTTCCGGAAAATTGAGACCCCTTTCATTTAATTGACTGTGAAGGCATGTCCCATGGTTCTAGGATGGGGGTAATGGGTTAGGGTGAAGTGTGTAGATTAACATGATTATCAGGGAAGAGAAAAAAAANAAAAAAAACAAAAACTACCAACGAACCTTGCCTTTGAAATGTTAGGGATAACATTTGGTCTAGTACCACTACTGCTCCCAGTTGCTGGTCTTGTAACGAATTTGACGATCTGTCAGCTTTTATTGTCTTTACTTTCAGGGTCACCATTGTCAATCTAGGAACCCTATGGCCCTATGGCCACCAAGAAGCAATGCGTTTGATAGAAGAGGCTAGCTAGTCCTTCAGCGTCCCCTTTGAACAGCAAGGTTGGCTCTTCCCTTGTAATTATCGACCAGTCTATCTTATTTGCGAATGGAATCGTTCCAGCTAGCTAATAACGAAATCTTCCATAAAAAAATGAAGCGCCATTCATTTTCTGGTCAATGAGACCAACATGATGGCCTCTTTTTCTGATGGACGTGGTTATCGGCTATCGCTATCGGTAGCCATTAAGCCATAAAGCCTAATGATTCGTGCTATTTGCGGAAATGGTCTCAGATTACTCTACATAGAGAATGAAAGTGACGCTACTTAAATTTGAATCGCAAGTAGGAAGTAATATAAACAGCTGATCAAAGTCCACTACGTAGGAAGTAGCGCTTGAAGCCCACTTGCGTCAACGGGACTTCCTACGGCAGTCGTTTCAGGCACTACCACGGCACTACCCAGGTAAACTTTGAGTATTACTACAATTACTCAGAACACCAACTGGGATTAATAAGTCATGATCGAACCAAGACCGCCAGAAGAACGAAAAAAGTAGCTGATTCTCCGATGGACTCATTAGCTCCCACATAAGGTAAAGTCCCATATGGTGCAGTAACGGAGATGTTTCTGGACAGCGTGGACTAGCGAAAAAAGGCCTTCTTCATCGGTCAAAATGAAAACTGTTCTATGTCCTTAATAAGATCCCACGTCAGATGTGAAAAAGAACCCAAAAGATTAAGCCATATAGTCATACTACAGGAAAAATCTCAAAAACCTCTTTTTGGCTTACCCTTGCTTTTCCAAAGAGGAATGGATGAAAGTTGCAATTCTAATTTAACTCCTCAGAAAATAGCTCGTAGTTCTTTTCATTTTCAGCTGCAGTAACTTGGGTTTATACTAGACGATATGTGGTTTCGTTCAGCTCACCTGATAAGCATACTCTTCGTTTTTGATTTCCAAATCGAAGCCAACCCCTTTCTCGAAAGGATTCTTGCCTTCACGTTCCTCATTGCCCCATTCACCGTTGACAAACGAGTTTCTGATCACGCACTGAAAATGATAGCTAAGCGAATTTTAAGTGAAATGTGATCCCGGTTGACGTTCAGGACGTCATCCAGCGTTTTGACGACTTTGGTTTGACTTCCAGTACGTCATACTTGGATCGAATCTTAGGACGAACGCACAACGCAAGAACAAATCCATTCAAGGGGATATCTACGTTTCTACAAGGACACAATCACAAATCGTATCGATTGATTGATCGATCGAGTGATTAGAAACATAGAAACCAAGGAACACACAGTTTTTAGTGATAGCGCTAACCTCGTTAGTACAACATGGATCGCAAAAATCATTCTGCAAGAACGGAAGTAGTGAGCAAGAAAATGTGAAGGACAGTGACATGGAGGGGGGTCATCTTCGACATAGCGACATAACATGATTTCTCTAGAGACGTATAATGCCAGTCATCGTGGCAAACAACCAACATGAACCCGTCGCATGAAATCAGTGGCCCTTATTTGACTAGTTTTCTTCTCCCACAGATAGACTAAGAGTGAAAAGAAAACGAGGACTAACACAACAGTAACGACACGCTAAAGTGTTTAGAAAAACATACGCCAGGTTTGATTTTGCCGCAGATGAAACCCTTGGCCTAAAAATGACGTCATAGAAACCTGAAATTTGGATTTGAGTGCTGCTAGGGGCCCAGAAAACTGACCTTTTCATCGAAACGTGGATTGAAGTGTAAGGCAATGTCACCGTTCTTCTTCAGAAGATTCACATTGAACCTAAATGATTGCTAAATGGGTTTAATATGAATGTGGTGGGAAGGAGGCATGCCCACAGCTCCAAGAACATCTCCAGCTTCACACCTTCCTACACGGTTGCCCTCCTTGTCTCATCTCCCGGGCAAACGACAAGTGTGATCAATGAAGGAAATTTCCATCCGTTACGACTTCTCCTCCCTTTGACTTCATTTTCCACCCACGCCCTGAAGCTATGAGCCTAGGATTGCTCCTACAGGACTACATTATAATTATTGACATTTTCCACCCCTCCACTGCCTATAATTACTAAGGACACGAGTTATAGCCAGCCTAGTGCATAATCGTTACATTTTCTATGATTTTCAGGATGGAAGCTACTCAAGATAACATCCAGAGGCAAGAATGCATTTTTCGACCAGAGGGGGCCAGTCAAAGGTAAAAAATCTGACTATCACATCAAACTACTATCACAACTAATGGTAAGGCCATAATGAGTATCAAACGAGGGCGTGATTTTCTATGAAAGACGAGTAGTAGTTGTGCACCTAGAGCGTCTGGGAGAACTCGGCCTTTGCCGCTACACTCATTTTTTTTATGGAATCGGAGGCCGTGTGGAAAGAGCTAATTGTAAAGCACTTAAACTTTTTACCCATTCATAGGGAACTGGCTGAAAGAATTAGCATCAAACAGTAATGGAAGGGTTAATGAAGGATTCAGGAAACTCACATAGTATTTCCCTCCCCACTGCACATGATTAAGTACCACATCTCCGTCGATACTGAGATGAGTAACATGCAATGGAAGGGTTAATGAAGGATTCAGGAAACTCACATAGTATTTCCCTCCCCACTGCACATGATTAAGTACCACATCTCCGTCGATACTGAGATGAGTAACATGCTGGAGAGGAATGCGATGCTCGAACGATTTCACCTCTCTCTGAAAAAAGGGGGGAATGAGTGGGTGGGCGTGATTAAGGTATAAAGGAAGTATTCAGGTAAACCTAGGTGGGTCTAAAAAGGGAGGTCTCCCATTTGCATCTTCCAGATTCTTGAGGGAGGCAATAGAGGGCTTTAGCACGGATATAAAGCCCATCCGTTCCCTGAGCTGTCACTGCCTACTAGTCTACAAAAGGTTTCAGATAAACCTAAATGGGTCTAGAAAGGGAGGTCTCCCACTTGCATCTCCCAGATTCTTGACAGGCAATAGAAGCATTAGCACAGATACAAAGTACATTCCACGAATTGTCACTGCCTACTATGTCTACAGCTTTACCGGGGTAGTACTAGCTAGGGGAACAAAAGCATAAGGCTCCCTGTCTGTCTGTCTGTTTTCGGCAAAGGAGTACCTCGACGGACTGCAGCAGAAAGGATCGAAAGCTGCTACCCCGGTCAAAATATGACAAAAACAGACATAGCAAAGTACTCACACGATTAATAGAGACGGTGAATTTGTTGTCGTGTGCTCGAATTCGGATGTCGAATGCGTCACCCTTCTTTACCGGATTCTTCTGCCGTTCTTCTTTTCCCCATGCACCTTTTGTATACGAATTGAAAACCAACTGAAATAAAATTTGCGTTCATTCAGATATTGCATCTAGCCGATGAACAAGGAAGTAGGGACGACCTGGCGATCGCCATAACTTAACCCATTCGGGCGGAAGCCTTTTCACAATGAACATCATCTGTAGACTTGCCACGGACCGAACTAGGCGACTTGCCCCTAATCCCAAGCATTCATTTCAAAAGGGTTCACTTCTTCCGCTATAAAAGTACGTAAATCACTTGAACGCGAACCTCATTATTGAGAAAAACTCCCTAGAGCTCACTTTCGGGGAAATGAGATCCGCGAACGTTGTGCAGCACGCCCCCATACCCAGATAAACGTCAAGATCTCAGTTTGACTAGAATTTATGTTTAAAGGATGAAAAAGACGAGTTACGGGTGTAAAAAAAGAATAACGTACTAGTGCAAGACGGATTCCCCAAGGAAACTCTTGGCCTGTGCAATTCATCCACATCAAGTCCCATTTCCCTTCTTCCCTCCTACATTAGTTCACCCCTCAGGAGGAATGATTAACTACTCCAAAAGTTTATAGTTATTTCGATTCAGGAATAGTTGATGTATTACAGCGAAGGTAGCGCGGTGGAAAAAACGCCGAATCGCCTCTGAGCGGTATTTACGATCAATTCTTGCCCAGGTGTTTATTTCCCTTCAAGCCGAATTACTACTCCGATACCGGTCTGGTAGAAAAAAAGTAAAACTAGCCACTTTCTCAATTGGGCATAAGCAGAAGCTTCCTGGAACTTGTAACGAGACAATTACACGACCCATAAAAAAGCCATAGCCGCCTAAGACTTAGTAATCCTCCGTTCATACTTCCTAACGTTTTTCGTAAGCCTTTACGACATCCAGCTGCTCCCCTAGCTCCTTATATGGCCCTATGCTTCGTCTTGCTTAGGGTTACATATGCGAATGATGGTGAAACAGCTGCCGGACGGTGTTGAAGAAGATAAAGGGACGGATGCATTGCATGGAATTGAAAGCGCATTCGATGGAATTAGAAGGGTGACCATAAAAAACGTCGAAATGAAGCTTCTACGCTCATGGAGCCCCAGACAAATCTCTGGGATCGGAAAAATACGGTAACAAATCGAGTGGAGTTGTACAACTAGTAAAAAAAAACTCAATGGCACCTCCCCTTCTAGGGCAATACTCCCGAATATTTGGCCTTTAAACGGCACTCAAGCATTTCCTCCCCTCCCTTCAGAAAACCGTCTATAATCCCATCTACTGCCATAAACAACAGCTGTCATGTGCGCCAAAGCAGCGGCCATGGGGCTGACGGAAACACTCCATTCAAGGCGTCTCCCTTCTATCGATGACTTTCGAAGTGGTGGGGAGGAAATTCCCTTGAAGTTGATGATCTCTTGCTGCTATTGTTTTTCTTTTCAGGGAGGAAAAGCTTCAACTAAACTTTGCGTGCTCAACTAAGACTGTTGTCGTGTGACTGACGAAATAGCAATTGGCAAACACACATACACACACCACATACACTCACATATACACGCCCAGTCATTCTCCGGGACAGGCGGAGGATGTGAAACAAAGCGAAACACAACCAAGAAAAATATCCCCACCTTTCCTTCATCAAATCGTACACTCACGTGCAATGGCACGTCGTTACCACTAAAGTCCGGACTGTCTTTGTGAAGGTTGATATTGAACCTAGAAACTCGTTCGGCATGGTGGAACTTTGAACCCATTGAGCCAATCGGCTCGCGACTTACCTCTTTGCCTCTTCGCTAGTTCTGCCGCGGATGATCAGTGTCTGACCAGGTTCGATCCTCTCGGTCAGTTTACTGCGGTACGGAATATTCTGGAAAGATTAAGTCTGATCCAATAAAGCTGTCCCCTTAACAATCTATAAAGCTGTAAATTGCAAAAAANAAAAAAGAATAATAATTAGTCTGATTTCCAGGGCCATTTGGATGGAATTCGAAGGCTTACTACTGCCCACTTGGGAATGATAGCTTTGTGTAGGCTTTACGGGACGGAATAATTCCCCAGTTCATTTTCATGCGCTTTCAAAAAAAATTTCAACGGACTGACGGGTGTGAAGGCCGGTTTAGCTTTGTTTGGGCAAATCATCAAAAAGTTGGTGGGCATAAAATCGGGGAAATGGGATGTCATGTGTGAATAGACGACATTAAACTAGAATATTCACAATGTACTTAGCGAAGTGCCATAAAGTTGGCATACGGCTGGCAACATCCAACACGACCACTGGAGTTGTGGCGGGAGCAAAGGCTGCTGAGCGACCTGCTCTCGAAGACGTGCACACACAAATGGCTGTGTCGATGGAGACTATTCTTCAAAGGATTCAGCAACAGATAGAAATCGACAAGGTGCCGGTGTTTGTTGAAGCAGTGGTAGTGGCGGTGGCGAAGAACACCTGATACGCGCCTCAAGCACGTTCGATCCTCTGTCGCCACTTGTGTCTCACATTCACGTGGCCCAGAGACCACCGCTATAACGGAGGATAGAGATCGTCGGTACTCAGCCAGTGACGAGTGAATTTCCTTGACAAGGTCAGCAGCAGCAGTTGATGGTCGCCGCAAGCGTTGTCGTGCCGCCAACGGATTCGCTCATGGAGGCTGGAGAGAGCCCGGAGGGGCTGTGGGTGGGGGCGTGTCTTTGAAGGGGAAAAGTGAGGACTTATCCCTCATGGCGCCGTCCTCCCAAATGGATAAATGCTTGCGTATTATCAACAAAGAGCGACAGCAAAGCATGGCACAGAGGGGAGACGGGCAATGCATCATCGTGTGAAGTTGTTCAATTCGAATGCGTGCGTATGTCGGTCGGTCGGTCGTTTCACGGGACAAAAAGTTGCTCTATTCAAGCGCAAATATCGAAAAACGCTCGGAAGACCACCATCAGAAATCTGAGATTATCCGCTTCCTCTAATGCAAATGCCCGTGATGATTAAAGCAGTTGTAACCGGAATGAGCTCTCCTTTATGAGCAACACTTTGGGAATCTTCTGTGTATCCGTGGAGGAAAAAGCCTAGAGAGGGAGAGGGATTGAAAGCGGTCGGGCATGACACATCGAGGAGATTCGCTTGTCAGTTGAAAATCTACCAGGCGATCCTCTTTTTTTGCTAAAAAGGCTTTCAAATTGCGACTATTCATCATGAGCATCACACCACTTCCCCCGTCCATGGAAATTCCACCTCTGTTTCAGTGGTGGAGGTGTAACCGCGGCAACAAAGGCTACATTCCAACGGGACGGAAAGTGTTCAAAACGTTTCATTGGTTTTCTAATGAAAAAAAACGTATAACGAATTTGATTAAACCCACAAATGTCCTCTCGGTCATGCTGTTCTGAAGGTGATAAGGTAGTTTAATGCTCCTGAAAAAAAGCGATTCGGATTCCTTGTTATTCACGAAACGAATGACTCCAAGTGAAAGTGCGCTAGGTATCGGTTAATTCAATGAGAAAGAAAACAGAAAGTTCTTTTCCCAGAAAGGAATGAACCAGAATTGACCATGAAAATTTATGCGTTCGCCATGAACCTTTTTCTTCCACGACTGAAGACTGAGACTTGTCAGATATATTGGAAGACTGCAGAAGAATGAGTGTAAATGAAGACTTTATAGAGGTAGTAGGGCATTGGAGTCCTTCCCTCATGGGCACAGCGAGGTCCTTGTGGGAGAAAATGGCAGGGAAACAGGAACACGTAAAGCCCGAGATGATGTGGGATGTGAAGGGGAAGAGACAGGAAATCGTAGTGTTTGGGTAACATTACTGCTATTTTGCATCGATTACTAGCTATTGAAAATGTATCGCTACGGTATGTCCTCCATTGGATGTCTCAACTGGTTGGGTAGATGAGTAAGGGAGAGAGCGAGATGGTCGATAGTGAACCCGAACCCAGAGAGGGTGCTGGTGATGGTAAGACCCCAAAGCATATGTTTAGCCTTTACCCTTCCCCTTCCTCTTCCAATCTTAATCTCTTCCATTACCCTAGAGGAAAACTGTCCATTTGAGCTGATCAATTCGAAACACGCCAAATATTTACCTTTCGTACCTGCCTAACAGTTTACCTACCAACTTCTGCTTGTTTACTCTGTACATCACCTATAAGGACAACCTGATGTGCAAGTTGAGCTTCTGTTACGTGACACCTATTTTGAAGTCCATGGAAAAAAGGGCCAAACCACTCAGGCAGGTCCCAAAAAGACTATTCAACCTATCGTAATCTGCTACTTCTGTTGCACCGTACTCCCCTCCAATTGGCACAGATCGCCCGAATCCTCTGTGAACGCTTTCAAGGATGAACGTTTAACATTTCCGAAGTTCATAAGCTCAACTTGAAAAGGACCAGACCGTCCCAGGATGGTCCCCAGAGGAAAATTTAATCTATCGTAATCTGCTTCTTCTGCTGCACTATCGTCCGTCCCTGGACCCATTGGAAAAGATCCCCCACTGTAGGAAAATGCTCCGTGAACGTTTTCATAGGTGAAGTTAACATTTCCGGGAGCCACATGTGCAGACGGAACATGTGCGAGCAATAAGTGCACGGAGGATAATCAGACCGATGGATCTTTGCCACTGATTTATAGCACGTACGAGCAATTTCTTCAACATGAGAGCGTTGCAATACAATTCCTCAGCTACAATGTTATCCCAATTGCTCGACACTGAGCTCCTTTGGCAACTATGTAAATAAAAATAAACAAATAAACATTGATTTGAATTAAAGTGGCCCGTAATAAGCACGTGATTCAAGGGCAGACGCCTGCGGTAGCTCGAGTGTTGTTGATTGATGCCAACGGTAGTTCGGAAGGTGTTGTGATTGAAAGTGATGAAAGAATTTTTGCACCTAATGTTTTTGACATAATTGCGGACAATTGCCGTCGTCTCCCCATCAGCCGAACTCCTCTCACCCATCGCATTACTTAACACCCACATGAAATAACACCAAAGAAAACTCACAGTACAACCGATTTCACGGAGACAGAGCTTTTGGAACGCGTGAGACGAGCCATCACACCAGCAACACTAACGGACTTGGGGAATCAATCTTTATGGGCCCTTTTGGTTGACTAAGTCACTGGACAAATACGAAAAATTGATGACTAGCCAGGGGGCCCGGACTTTTCTGCCCACTAGATCGTTTTGATGGCTCTTGAAGTTGCATATTCATCCTCTGGTGAATCGGTATCCTATTACCAATGAAAATCGTCGAAAAACCTATCAAGGAATCTTTTTCTCCTTGTTCCACTGAACATGAATCCTGCGCTATGGCCATTTCACTTTGACTACAGCATCATCTCATCTTAGCTTTGGGAAGGTCCCTTAAATATGTCCCACACCATTTATTCGAGACTCCTAGTGATCACTTCCCTAGAGCTTTGAACTTCATTGCTTTTGAATATCGGATGGTCTTACATCCTGCTCAGAAGGGCATCAGATCNCCACTGAACATGAATCCTGCGCTATGGCCATTTCACTTTGACTACAGCGTCATCTCATCTTAGCTTTGGGAAGGCCCCTTAAATATGTCGCACACCATTTATTCGAGACTCCTTGTGATCGCTTCCCTAGAGCTTTGAACTTCATTGCTTTTGAATATCGGATGGTCTTACATCCTGCTCAGAAGGGCATCAGATCATTCCCTAATAGTCCATTCCTAGATGGAGGAGGTGTAGTGCCAAGTGGCGCTATACCACATCTACGGTCCAGGAATCGAACACCGGAACAATACCCTCCCTAGCTAGCAAAGTCTTTCATCCCTCCAAGGTGGTTGATTGGTCTAGGGCTCATCTGGGAGGATAATAGAACTGCCTTTATATCAGTTGGCTCCACGGGCCACTATGCGACTACTTACGCATATAAATTCCTACATTAAAATTTCACTTCTCTTCTGAATAGGAATCAGATGCGTGGGCGCATTCCAAAAACGGGATTGCCCATGGGTATTACCATCATGGGAATTCATCAATTGATGTTTCATTTGTGGACCGTTTACCGAGTGGCTATTGTGCAGTTTTCGACTATTTTGGGATATTTTGTCAAACAGAAACATCCACCAGTCAATACCCAATAGTTGAATGACCTCTTGCTTATTAGATTGTATAATCGTTAAATTGTAAACTCGGTGCGGGGTTATGATGAATTGGGTGTAATGCTATATTTCATCTTCTCTCTCGATCTCGTCCACCGAGGTTTTACAACTGGTCATTCCACCTGGAAATTTCACCTGTTGAATGGGTGGAGGTAGGGGAGGAAAGCTGGATAATGATAGAGTAGTTGCAGTGATTTCTTTTCCTGAATGCACTTTGTGATTCGAATTTCTCGAACTCTAACTCCTATCAAATTTACAGGACCTCCTTTGAAAACCTCTTATTTAACCATATACAACTTTTTTAGGTGCCTCTCCTCCAAACGGAAACTCCATCATGATGAAGCCAGTAAGTTTTCCAGGTTCATCCCACCCCACTATTATGAATCCGATAATCGTAAAAACAGGAAAGGGCAAGGGTTACTGATTTTGAGTAGTCTACAATTACCATTCATTTTAGAGCATTTTAGAGCTCTGAAAGAGGAAGTAGAGCTGCGTTCGCAGGGACTGCGAAGCACACCCAGTTCAGTGACGGAGCTCCTTCCACGAGAGGAATCCACCAATTGATACCAGGCTTGCCCAGGAGGACAAATCTGCTTGACTACTCTCTACTCGCCCACGCCTAAGCCACCTTTTTGGGAAAAACATCTTCAACCTTAAACTCAGATAGAATATACATGATTTGGCGCACAATCGAGACACCTTTCTTCTTACCGTAATCTGATAGATAAATTTACTTAAACTTCAGTTTTTAAATGCATTTCGATGGGTCAGCTTCACACTTGAAAATGAACGTTCCCAAGGAGGTGGTTACCAATTTTAGTCCATATCGAAAAATCGAAGTGGGAACCAATAAATGGAACCGATCGTGAGACGTAATGTCAATAATTTGACTTCCGCCCCTATATGTGCTCTATGATGATAACGCAAACATAGTGGGAAGTGAATGGGCTCGACGCCGTTAATGTCGAAGAAACACGATGAAAGTGATCCGAGTGATAACATAGAAAGGCAGTTCAACACGGACAGTCCCGCTCCCAATCGGGAAATGTTAGCAAAGCAAAAGCGATGAATTGTAGTGCTAGAATCCACACACAACACACACACATGCACCACGCTAGCTAGCAGATCGGGTCTCACAATTCAGCTGAGTAAACAAAGAAGAAACGTGGGGAAAAACGAGAGCAATGAAAACTCGCCCGTTGCCATTTTGATTCACATCCCCTCGCCCCACCAACCAACACCCCATAACAATTACGACTGGATTTAGTCCCATCAATGAACAATGCAAAGTGACATGTGGGTATGGGATCAACAGAGCTCGGGAGAGTG